TCTTGAATGGGGCGTCATATTTCAGGTGTAGTAAGAATATTCTTAGAGAGGTTCCCATACACCAAAGGCACCAGTGAAAGAAAGCATAAAGGAAGAAGGAGCACAGGGGATAAGGAGCAAGGAAGCTTTGAAGAGCAATAGTCAGTCATATCTTGGTACCTGCATTCTTAATAAGTATGATATAGCTTCAGAGACCAAAGGTCACAGCTCAACTTTCTAGGCCTAAGAAATACACTAAAATAATCCATAGAAGAGGAAGGTATTGATAATGAGTCTTGTACCAAAATCCTTTCCTCTGTTCCTAAGTTTTCTTTGCTATGTACTAAGAACTGCTGCAGTTCACTCACCTTCTGTACAGAAAGTCCATTTTAGCTGTTTCTGTAGATAAGATTTCTCAAAGAAGTCTTTGTAGAGTTGAACTGTCTCTGCCCAAAACAGAAATGTTCCAGCAGCAATAATACACTATAGACATATCAGTCTGGGAAATAGGAGGAGATCATCTATGTATTCAATGTCTCGGAGCAGGGGTCCTTAAAGTGGGAAAACTAAAGCTCATTCCTTCTTACCTATCTCTACTCTTTGCCTGGGACAGTTGGCTTCAGGGGAATTTGAAGCCATTGCCAGGCTGCAATTGCTCTGAATTGCTTAACATCAGGTCAGTTGAGTGGCTTGCTACAAGACTTACAGCTGAGTTTAACCCAGCTCTTAGTTATGTGTAAAGTCATGACACAGGACACAAAAATCATGATCTGTGTCTGTAAAAAACTTATTTACTGACAATGTTGGAGAAGTGCGAAGCTTGATTTTCAGTCTTATTTTTGTTCACATGAATCCAGAAGACAAAGTATCTTCTCCCTATAAACAGGCTAAGTCTACTGAAGTTCTTCAGGCTTTATTGAAATTACAGAATTTCTGAAAGCTAAATAGCAGAATAGAATCAACATTATGGTAAGAAAAATATATGCCTTATTAGAATGAAACTATTTCAGTCCTTTCATAGCCAACCCTAATAATCCTGAGAGCATCAGATCACATAACCTCTTCATAGGTATATGGAAAAAAAATACAACTCCCAACAGTCTGGGTATGTAACTACCCCCTTGCTTTTTACAGCCAAGGTCTGTACTGTCTGAGGGCTATCAACCGTTGGGATGCTTCCAAAGACAAACTGTTTATTCAGAGGCAGATTTGATCAAGGCTCATGTTTTCCAAAAGGCAGCTAGCTTACTTAGGCCCTTTTAAAAATCCTTTCCCTAGAGCTCATCCACTGGGCTGTTTGGGCTGCATATTTTAAGCAGCAGCAAACTGCCAAGTCAAATGCACAGAATTTGTTTCTAAGAGAAGCAAGGAAAAGACAAAGAGCAAAAGTTAACACTGCAGATCATTGCAAGCTTCAGAGAGTACAAAACAATTGTTTTAACAAGAGCTAAAAATACTTTCTTCTAAGAGCGCCTGCTCTTCTGACAAAGGCATGCAATACACTGAGAAACATGTTCGCAGAATCAAAATATTTATAATACTACAAAGAAGCAGTCTCTGCTTTAGAAACTTACTATAGCTGGTTAAGTTGGAACTACATTTTTCATACTACAGACAAAAGATTATCAACCACAGACAAAAGTGAATATTGGCTTTGTTGCCAACTTAAATGTTAGAACAGCAAAAACACACCGTATGTTTTCTCTAGATCACCTGATAGTTACCTTGGTGTAACTATCAATATAGTTATAGAACAAAATACAATTTTACCTTCTAACCTTCTCTTTGCTATGTGACAGAAGTGACTTGTACTAGAATGCACTCTGAAAAAAAGGAACAGAAGGGCCGTGCAAACAAATACAAAGTCACCTGGCCTCACTGGAAGCTTTACAAATGTTTGTTCTCGATACTCAAAAATCTTGGCTCAACTCAAAATTCAGTACAACTCTTCCTCTGTAGTCCAAGGGAACACAGAAAGCTAAACATCTATAATGATGAAACTTCAGAGAAACTTTTACAGAAAGTGTCAGGTTCAGCTTCTTTCCTTTGTTAATTTCAAGCATCGGAAAATCTTAGGGGTTTTTTTTAAGGGGAAAGAACAAAGAGAAGTGATTTAAAGTCATGAACAGAGTGACAATTCACTTTTGAAAATCCAAGTTTTCTTGCCATATTTAGCTAATGCCGAAACAGTGTCTACAGCAACATCAACAGGGCAGCTGTGAGGCTGCCAATATTGGCTCCAATTGTGAAAAGCATTTTTTTCTTTTTTTTAAGTCTTTTCTTCACTTTTCCCCTTCCAAAGACACAAAACAGCAGAAAACCGTCAACTGCTTTGTACAATTGTCAGGCAAAGGAATCTACAATTTTATTTTGTACCACGGTTGCTATTTGCATATTAACCTAGCAAGAATTTAACGTAACACTATAATACTTGCAACATTGGAGCAACAACTTGTTCAGCAATCATGAATTACCAGCTCCTGCATTTAATTTATTTTTTAATTGCTCTCTTCTGTTGTAAGCCAAGAAAGAAAACCAAAAAATGATACAAGAGGGCGCCGGCCACACTTGTGTGCCAAAAAAATCCTGCCTTTAAATAAGGCCCCAAACTGAGACAGATTACATTAGGCTTTCAGAAAAGTTGCTTAATACCCTCAAAAAGCCAGTCTGTGTAGTTTGTTAAATTACAGTAGGCAATTCTCTTTCAGTAAGAGAATGGTAAAGCAGCAAAAGTGGAAAAAGAGCATTCAAAGTGCTGAAAGCATTTATACTATGTTACTTGATTCATTAGTTGCAACTTCAGTTCTTCCCCCCCGAATGTCTCCCTTCTCTCCACGCCGATGAAAAGCTGGAACAGAGCAAGACAAACTCTTAGTGCTACAAGATGGTTCTGTGAACTGGTGGGGCTTGGCTCATGCCACAGTCACCAACAGTGGATCTGCTGGAGAGGTTTCCCTTCCCTAAAAGGGAAAGTCAGCTATAATGATTATTAAGGACTAACAGATGAAGTCATATGACTCTCACAGTCTTTGGTTCATCTGCAATAGCAACTGCCTCCATCCTTCTCTTCCCATAGGCATCAACAAAAAACATCTGCACTTGCCATCCTCCTCACTGATATATCCTCCGTACCCACCCATCTAACACCTTCCCTCTACATCAATCCATTAAAAAAAAAAGGTGGGGGGGAGCTAACATATAATTTCTAACTGTAAATTATGTCCCAACCTTCAGCCTGTTTTGTGTAGTTAAATTCTAAGCATGTTAGGGTGGGACTTTTTGTGTTACTCTCTGCAATGCTTAACACACCAGAATACTGCCCTCAGTTGACCTTGTAGCATGCTGTAACAAACGCGTTACAAACACATTACCTGACTTCTCAGATTTTGTCACAGTACAGGAAGAATGGACAGACGAGACAGCATCCATGAAATTGCATGTAGTTCAAGTGTCAGCATTGTCACATGTGGAAACACAACAGGGACAATTCATGTTCATCTCAGGACTGTTCAGAAACTGGTTTCAAGATCAAGTACACTGAAGAGCAAGCAAAAGAGGATATACTGAAGTTTCTGCTGCTCTTAAACAGATATTTAAGCTCACCTTATAGGTCTTCAAAAACTCTTAACTTGGTTCTTTATGATGTTACAATAACTTCAAAATGCCTATGATGTACTGCCATGCCATCAAACCTCGAAGACAGACTTAGGTTTGTCTTGGTAAGTTTGGAGCTTTAAAGATACATAAAAGACATCAATATAGCACAAAGTGAGCCCTAAAACAAGTATTGTCACACTTCAAATTCAGAACATGTTCAATGTGAATGGATATGTTATTACACAGTGTATATAAATCCAGTAAAGTGAGCTAATAGCATCAGCGTAATCACTAGTGTAAAATGTTTTGTCACCTCAGAACAGACAGATGAACAGCAAGCTTCCACATACATGTTGTTTACTTAACCAGCCCTTTGGAAGCCTTGTATGTCTTCTTGTAATAGGTAAATCAATACCAAAGTAATCATTGCTGCCTACCTCGCTTAAAGACTTAGCCTAGCCCATGTCACACTACAGCTCTCCCCAGAACTCCTCACAACAGAAAAGAGCTGCAACCAGAAGAACTGATATTCAAAAAATTATCGTACATCAGGAAAATTATTTCTTAATAAAGGCACATTTGTTAACATTTGACTGTCATTTTCCCATTGTCAGAACTTTCCACTAACATTAATTCCAACAGTTTGGGAAATACTGACAGTAGGTACCCGTTATTCTAGAGAGCAGTGTTTGAAAGTTACAACTAGCACAAAAAGCTGGGAATTGCACTTTAGCTTTTTTTTTTTTAAAGAAAACTGTGAAGTCAATGAGCTTGATGCATAAAAATGAACTTTATCGAAGTATGTCCCATTACCAACTGCTTTATCAGCCTATATCTCAGTGGTATTCTAACCTGTAAGTGGTACTTCATTATATTAGGTTACATTAATCTTCTCCTGTCTTCCCTGCTTGCTCTGAATCAACTGATCATGCCGGTTTTCCTAAAGTACCGTGAAAGGTGTTTTGAAAGATCCAAGACACTCAAGAGTTTGCTTAACCTTTAAGTCAGGCTGCAGTTTCATTCACAGGTATTCATGGCCCCTTACTACAATAAAAATCTCTTCTCAGCCCCTGGGAATTCAGGTGCATTTCCCAGAACCCCAAAGGTAAGCCAAATCTACTCTTACAAAATCAAAACACTGAGCAACAAAGACAGAATTACAGTAGCAAAGATCGTAACTAGCGACTCATAATGCGTGGAACCTAGAAGCAGACACAGAGGTGATGCATGTGTTCCTGTAATTACATTCCACTGTTCTTCTGTGCCTTATTTTCCAATAAATAAAACAGGCAGATACTGCTTCTATCCCATTTCTTCTATCACTCCTTTAAAAGCTCCTGCCTTTAAAGCTGTTGGTGCACATATGCACACAAACATCATTCCACCTAGCAGAGCAGATTATTTAGTAAAGAAATATACATATACATTTTGAAAATGGGATTTTATTGGAAGCTTATCAAAAACGTCTGAAATCTTATTCAGGAAAGGCACTTCAGACTTTAGTCCTTTTTCTTTTTAGCTTTGGGTTCTTGTGACGGTTGAGATAATTCACTTTCTTCAACTTCATCGCAATGCTTTCTTTTCTTTTTCTTTGACTTTTTATGGTCACTTTGGTAACCACTGGAGTCACTGGCAGGCAATACATGTTCCTGTTCTTCTTGCGCATGCTTCTTCTTTTTCTTCTTCTTCTTCTTGTTTTTATCATCACATAATCCATTCACAGCATCAACACTTTGCTCTTCTGCATTTTCTGTCCCAGTGTTACCCGTCTCACCTAGAGGCTCCTCTGTGATATTATCTTTCCCAGAGTCATTCAAGCCATTTTCCTGGTGGTCAAGCTTTTGAATTTCATCTCCATTTGTATGGTCAGTGACGGTCTCCGATCGTTTGGGCTGCATGCTGTAAAGAAATATACAAAATAAGCTGAAGTAGAGACATCTAAGTGCACCTCACACAGTGAAATGTCAAGATTTGCTAAAACACAGTACTTACACTAGGTAGATAAAAGATAAGCATTTGCTAGAAACAACAAATGGAGAGCATGATACTCTAGTTACAGAAAATCATAAAGCCAGTTTAACACTTCCAGCTTAGTTTCTATTACCCGACTAGGTTCCTTCTTACCACAGAATCAATATTCTCTTTCAAATCTTAGCCTAAATTTCTTCTCTAAAATGCTGCACAGACCATTTAAATATTTCCTCTTTTCTTGTACTCCTTCATCCACTAATTCATAATTACACATTGTGTAGTAAACCTTTAAGTTATTCACAAACACGCACAGCCAACGACCTGTTCAATCATACATGAGACACACTGCTGTTTTTACCAAGCAATTGCCTTGCTGAAGTCTATACAGTGAAAACAAAGGCATTGATGTCAGAAGAGTCAAAAAAAAAGAAGAAAAACCCCAAACAAAATCCCAAAACCCAGCAGATACCTTGCAACTGAGAGCACTGGAGAAAATGTCTAGGAAGACAAATATGGAAAGAAATAGTTAAAAACTACGAGGAGGAGATGCCCCCAGAGGCACCAAGGACAAAATCGTTAAGTCCCATTGTAAGTTCACTGAAACAATCCAGAGCATCCTTCCAGATTAAAAAAACCCAACCAACCAAACAAAAAGCACCACCAGAGACGTCTAGAAATGTTGTCTGTCAGTAGTAGTCATATTGTAAATTTAATTAAAAACATAACCACGTCGGTAGAAAAAAATTGCTCAGCAAATGACCGTTTAAAAAAAACCATCTGAATGAACTCTTTTAAAGACATCACTATTAAGATTTTTAGCAAGCTGCTCTAAAAATTTAGAGAGGCATAAGTGAAAGGAGGAAGGTGATGCATTTTCTCCTATCATCTTTGAGATCAAGTATATTCTTATGTTTCAGCAAGCATTTACGTCATCCACATGTAATTGTTTGTGGTTATGTAATATGTGTGTCTGTGTGTGTGTACAAACACCAATGTAAACATTGTGTTCAGGAACTGGAGTGTTTTCACTTGAAAAGCCTATGCACATTCATAAACCCAGCTACTGTAGACATTTGGGGATGCTATTTTGAACATGTACTATTTACGCAATCAACAGTTCATAGCTCAGCACACTGAGATATTTAAAGCTCAAAAAAGTCTACTTTCATCTTTCCAGAGAAAATTTCCATGTGAGTCCTTAACACTATAAAGTTTAGTTTAAGATAACTAACACAGGCTATATATAGACATGGGTTTGTGTAAAAACAAGAAAGCTGAAAGATTAAGATGTTAATTCAAATCATTTAGCTTGTAACAAACCCATCAAAACAGTTAAAAATATTCTCTCGTATGGCACAATACCTGCTTTTAGTGAGTCCTCCTCGAATGAAGAACACCCCAGCTGCATCAGAATCCAAGTGCAATACTTGAAATTTCAGTTCATCCCCTATTTTTAACCCCAGCTCTTGCCACTGTACAATCGACATTTGCTCAGGCTTAGGGATAGAAGCATTGAAGCATCCATGTATCAGGCAGCCAATATGACTTGGGGCCACTTTATTAATTACACCCTAAAGAAGAAAAAGAATGTCATATAAAGCTATAGTAAAGATCACTCCTTTAAACGCACACATGATATATATTTAGTTTCCCATATGGGCACTTTTTGACAGGACTTTATACGCACAAGTTACAAAGTCAGTTTATCTAGCAAATAAGCTAACTTTTCTTCACCAAAAATCAAAGCTATTCCTATATACTCTTCATACAATTCCTCCCAAAATAGAAGTGAACCTGTATCTGCAAGAGAAAAAGTCAAAACATGGGATTCAGCCACAGTGAGTACCTGGATAGAACAGGTAACTCTTTTCTCACACTACAGCCATCAACTTTGCTTTAAAGCCATTTTAAGTCTGATTTACTTGCCTAAAACAGCCTTCATGCTGGCACAGCACTACTTAGCAGCTAAAGATACAGATGACACATAAAAAGCTTTTAAGTACTCCACTCAGTGGGTTTCTGACACGTTTGCATGTCAAACGTTATTCACCTTTGTTTTCCCCAAAGATGAACGAAAGACACTGAGGGTTTTTTCCATTCTCTTCCTAGCAAGAGGACACATTCATTTCTTAATCACATTTAGAAAGACACAAGCTGTGCTGCAAAAGTATGGCACAACAACGAATGTAAGCCAACTCCCAGCTTATTTTTCCCACAAGTACTGACGCAAGGGTGTTAAGCAGCTTAAAGTTGTTCTGTGAGCTGTACGTTTCCTTTTACTGAAAGGCAGGCTTCAACTTGATGTACTGCTCTTGTACTTGAAGGAAATAAACTCATGAGAACATCCTAAACGTTCCCGCCACTATTAAATAAGAACAAACACACCTGTTTGAGGATTGTCTGCTCTTCAGAAAGAAGCGTTGATATAGATGATATACCAAAATCATGATATAGTATTTAATAATATGTAATCTTTATGATACAGTATTTCAATAATATATAAATATTACGCATAAAATTTAACATAGGGACAGTACAGATACATGAAAATACAAACTACTACTACAAACTGCTAATAAATCATACACGAATAAACTACTAATATAAACTAAAATGTAACTCCACCTAAGTCCCAGAGCTCTGTTGATGACGAAGATAAGCCAAGCTTTGACTACGCCATTAAAAAAAAAGCCCCATAAGAC